CAGGAACTTGTGTTGTACAAAAGAACCGTCCTGGAATTGACCTGGGGAGAGCTTTCTGCAAAAAGTTACTAAGTCCCAAAACATTCTGCCTCATTTCAACAGCTGTCACTCAATGCTTTGATACACACTGCTTCTTTGTGTTGGTAACTTCCTCCACTATCTCCATATGTGTTACGTTTGCATACATGTGTTGTCTGTCTGGATGTTGAACAAACTCCACAGAGATAACCCTGAGTCTGGTCACTCCAAGCTTGTCCTGGTTATTTTTAACTCTGCAGGGGGTTGTCCAGTATCACCTCTGTTTTCTCTCCCACAGAGGGACCACTTCAAATGGCCCAAAACAGACAAGGGGATTGGCTTCTCCCAGTGCAGGATAAAGACTGTAGGAATATGCAGATAAACTGGACATACAGCTTTTATTTACATTTGAAAGCAAGGTGGCATGTCCAGAATTATTCATACCCTTTTCAATAATCAATAGAAAAATCTTTATTGGCTATTACAGTAATCCAATGTTTCCTATAATTGCTGATCAGTTTTTTGCATGTCTCCACTGATATTTTTGCCATTCATCTTTAGCGGTGAGCTCCAATGCTTTCAGATTGGAGGGTCTGCTTGCCCTCACCCTGATCTTTAGCTCTATCCACAGATTCTCAGTTGGATTCAAGTCAGGACTCTGGCTGGGCCACTGCAAAACGGTAATGTTGCTGTCTAATAACCATTTCTTCACCACTTTTGCAGTGTGCTTTGGGTCATTGTCATGCTGAAATGTCCACTGGTGCCCAAGTCCAAGTTCCTCTGCAGGCTGCTTGATGTTGTTGAGGATCTTGATCTATTGCTCTTTGGTGTTCTTAGGGTTGAAGGCTTCTCCTTTTTTATGCCAAATCATCAATACATCATTGTGGCCAAACAATTCAATTTTTGTTTCGTCTGACCATAAAACAAAAGACTTTGTCCAGATGAGCATTTGCAAAGGTTAAACGGGCTTTTGTGTGCCTTATCTGGAGAAGTGGTGTCCTCCTTGATCTACTTCTGTGGAACCGAGCAATATGTAGTGTTTGTTGGATTGTCTGGCTTGAAATGTTGCCACCAGCAGAGCCCAGATTCACCTGGATGGCCTTGGTGGTGATCTGTGGATTCTTTTTCGCCTCTCTCACTATCCTCCTGGCCAGCAGAGGTGTCATTCTTGGCTTCCGACCACATCTTGTGAGATTTTCCACAGTGTGGAACATTTTGTATTTTTTAATAATTCTTTGCACTATAGCCACTGGAACTTGAAAACATTTAGATATGGCTTTATATCCCATTCCTGACTTGTGAGCAGCCACAATACGCAGCCGTAGATCCCCAGAGAGCTCCTTTGTGTTAGCCATGACTGTTCACAAACCAAATGCAAAGACCTACTGTTTTTCACCTGTTCAGTTGCTTAAAACAGCTCTTCCCAATGAATCAGGGTAATTAGGAAGTTTTAGAATGGTTTGGAATGTTACAGAACTTTGGATTTTTCCATAGACTCTGACAGTTTACATAATTGTGGATATGCCACTTTTCGTTCAAATGTAAATAAAAGCTGAGAATTTATTTATTTTTTCCGTAACACTTTAAGTCAAAATTTGTCATGGGTATGAATAATTTTGGGCTTGACTGTACACACACACACACACACACACACACATATATATATATATATATATATATGATCTGGAATATCAACTAGGCCTATAGGGTAGATTATTTATATTTTGTTCCAGTGAAGAAAAGTTCCTATCCTAACCTGCTAAAACAAAGCATCACAGACATAAATAATCTGGTTTGTAATAGATATTAGCTATTCCAGTGGTTAGCGTTGGTGAAATCTAATAGGCCTCCTTATGTAAAATCTGCAAAGGCCCAACTAGACAATTCTAGTTTTTAAAGGACTGAAAAGGTTTATTATTATAAGAGTAACCTTACCAAACTGCACCAGTTTGCGAAAGCCTACATTAATAAATAACGACAAAAACATAAAAGGCGTGGTCATGGCCCACAGAGGGTACACAGACAGTTTTTAAATTAAGATAAAGAGGGCACACTGGTGATTAAAAAATGAACAGGTGAACTTCATGTGCCTTTGTTTTTGTGATTCCTTCAGCTGTGGTGTTTTACGGGGAAATTCAGGACGCTGTATAGGCGTTATGGTCCATAAAAGCAGCCCTTGACCCGGGGACACAGTGTTAGTGCAGCGGCCCGCCCCCTGCGCGCACTCACGCCCCTTTAAACACGTCACTCGCCTGGCTGGATGACTGGCGGAGTGGCGGTGCGCGGTGTGTGTGCGGTCGGACTGTGGTTGAGTATCTGCTCGTTCTTGATAACGACTCACTTCGCTTTTCATTGTGGAGAGATGGGATTTCAGAAGAAATGGCTTTGAGACACTCTGCTCTAGCACTGGTGGCCCTTCTCGGGTTGGTGGCTGTAGGTGATGGTAAGTTTTAATATGATCACCTCTCCGGCTTTTGTCTCGGTGTGTTTTCCTGAACTGGGCATCGCCTGTTGTCGCTCCGCGTCATGGCGCGGCGGCGTAGGGATTTGGCTAGCAAAGTCTAGCTAGCGTCGACCTCAAAACATTCATTATTCGTAGGGCATATCCAATGTTTAGATTTAATAGTTTTGTGCCATGTTTGTGATGCATTTGTACTGCCAACACGATACGTTTTGAATGTCTGCACTTGAACGTCGTAAAGTAGCACAACCACAACAACAACATGGTGGTTGTTTGTGTCTAGGTGCCAGCTATACCTCGTAAGCTAACAGCCAACAAACTATTCAAAGTTCATCACAGAGTAGAAATCTGTTTCAATTAAGGGCATTTCAGTGCGTCTCTTGTTGTGGTTTGTTGAGCGATATAGCAAGTGGCAAGTGCGCGCTGCTTTGTTGTTACTGTAGTTATCTCTCCGCTGCTACCATATTTACTAAACAATCCTCCTCGGCTTGCTTATCTCTGGATGGCCCGGGTGCAAGTCGCTGTAATGATCGCTGGCTGCGATGTGGTCACTTACAGTTTATTCACATGCTGTTGCCACACGTTTCCATGCTGCCAATGAGAGGGAAGAGCCAGTGAATGCTGTTGTGTAGATGTGTTTGTTTTCTCTATGAAATGTGTATTTGGGGTAAACAGGGGCAGCTCCTTCAGTGCTCCCCATTTGTGAGCTGTGAAAAGGTTGCTCTGTGGCCTCCAGCTGAAAGTGAATACTGGCACAGGGTGAAAACAGCCGAGCATTGAGTCGCCCAGACAGGAGTCAGAGTTGAAGTCTGGGTTCATTGTGATGGAAATGTGGCATGCGGGGTCTTTTGAGGCGCCCGGTCTCCAACGCTTCAGCCCGTCTGCTGAAGCAGCTGACGGCCAGCTCCACATTCAGACGGGCATCTGCTCCTCTGAACTTGGTCCCTACATTTGCCCGTCTTAAATAAACTATTATTGAATTATAGCTGCGCCTCATTGTCATGTGACCAAAAAATTTAAATTAAGAAGACATTTTAAGAAGGGCATAATTTTGGGATCCATCAGTGTTGTACAGTTATCAGATATTAGATCAAATATTGGTCCAAATTCTATTTTAACTATAAACTTGAAGGGATGATAAATCGCATAGTCAATTGATTAAAACCCATAGTGGAAATGAGCCGTTTCCTCCAATAAACATTGTAATGTGAACTGTATCATGAATTAACCTTTAACCTTCGGTATATTTGACCTGTCTTGCAGTCATATTTACCAGAGGAAGTTGTGGGCAGTGGTCACACCTCAGTGTCCAGTTTGTTGGTTCCACTGTCAGTAGACTGTGAGGTGGGGTGGGGCTGACAGCTGATGGAGTGCTGAAAATTACAAATGGACAAAAAAACAAAATGTAGCTTTTATGTAACATTATGTACTCATAATATTCATATTGCCTTACACTTTCTGTCCTCGTTCCTTGTCAGTTATGTCTACAAATAGTGATTTTGTTGTTAGCCTTAATATTTTCACTTTGTTTAACTATGAAGAATCATGATTTTACTATTGAAATCTAATTGCAAAATGCTTGTTAGAGAAACAAATCACAATTGGATCCATTTTCATAATGGTTCAGCCTCACTTTACTCTGGAATGGATTATACAGGGAGGTGTAAACCCGACCAACCAGAAGTCTTCTGCACCCAGGCCTTCTCAGTGTGAATAAGGGTGACAAACAACTCGTCTGTGAGTTGGTGAGTGTCACGTGTTGATGACCTCACAAGGAGCGGCCATTGTCATTGTTGTGGTGCTGCAGGCCTCGCTCTGCTGTTCTACACAGCATCAGAAATCTGATCCAGCCGTGTGGCCCCAGCACTGTGAGGGAGGGCATGACCATGACTTAGCCCCATCCTCCCCTTTCTCTGGGCCTTCTGTTCAACAGACCTGCTTCAACTCAGTATGCACTATGTATGCCACATTCACTGTGACAGTGTACTGTCTCATGGTGGGCATTTCTTTTCTGCAGTTATACCCCAAAATGTTTTATTTAGTTTTCTTAGTATGAAGTGTTTTATTTTTATTGTGAGCAATACCATGTAACCTTATAGAGGTTGAACATCACCTGCAAGATTCCACAGAAACTGTGTTAAAACTATACTTCAGAACTAGCTACACGAGTGGGTAGAGGCCCCCCACCAGGCCAAATAGGTCACTGATATGCTAGTCAATTTACAGTAAGGAATCAGGTTTTTCTGTGTTTTTCATCCAAAACAATGGCATAACTTTTCTGCCTAAAAAGTTATGCGGTGGGGCTTCTTAAAAGAGCAGTAAATATTGGATACAAAAAAAAGCTGAATAGAACTTTTTCTTCAGCCATGTATGATGAAGTAGTATGAAATGGTGCTACAATAGCTGTTTTTTTTGTAGACTTGGTTTTATATATATATATATATATATATATATATATATATATATATATATATATTGTGTCGACCTACTCTCACGATCCACATCTGCTGGGATCTTCCACAGTCTTTCTGTCATGGTTCAAAGGTATCATTGCCAATTGGAAACAACACTCTGCTTGTTTGTACCAGAGCCAAGCCTCGAGTTCTGTTTAATATTGAATCTGATGTGCTGAGGAGGAAGCCCCGGCTCTTTTGCAGTAAGACTTGTGCGCACCTGCCCCTCAGAACAGAGCCAGGGAATGTACAGGGAAACCGTGAACCTTATTGGGTTCAAAGGTGTGTGTTTTAACCGAGGGAGAGAAGGAGGGAGGAGGAGAGGGGGAGGAAGAGGTCCAGCTGGCTCTGATTCAAAGGAGAAAGTACTGTTTTGCAAATGCACTTGTCTAGGCCTGTTTCAATTAGGTAAACATATGAGCTTTAATAGAGCTGCCACTAAATAATGTTGGAAGACTTTATTTATTAAAGCCCAGAGCAACCTCATTTTTAGTCATGTAGGCCTATACCACAAACCAAATTTTTTACAGTAAAAAATAACAGACTATTTCTAATGTTGTTTAGCCAAATTTCAAAAATGTAGTTAGTTTTTCTTTTTATATATTGGTATGGTCCAAGGGTTTGTCCAGATATCAAGAATCAGTATCTCAATTCTGAGCACGCTAAATCTTTAATGTATGATGTTGACAAACATGGTTGAACTGGTGCAGAGTGCAGTTCGGGTCAGGTCTGTTCTTTTGTTGTTGATGGCCTCTTCTGCCCTGGGCCCTAAATGTGGGCAGCAGACAGTGTACCCTCTGTCTGACCTTCTCGTCATTACTGTTGTTAGACCACCGATCATCCCAGCAGTTACGCCAGCTCCTCCCCCTGGTCCTCTCAAGTCGTCTCAGACATACAAATGTAGGGATACAGAGGGATATTTTAATAAGATAATACATTTGCCATCTTTGTAACTTGATAAATGTGTGTAGAATATCATATAAAATTTGTAGTTTTATAAAAGATAATTGGATGGCAAAAAGGGCATTGTCCCATATTTTATTATTGTTATAGTACAGTTCACAAAATCCCTTTTCACCTTTCACTTTTGTTAAAATTAACAGAATTCTATCTATGATATAAAACCAACCAACTCCAACCAAAGTTCAGTTAAAGTAAGACAAGTGATTCCATTTATATAAAGAATTTGTCAATCATCAGGTACAAAGTTGGTTCAGTTTAATATTCAACAAAAATTTTAAACCATAGATCACAAACTAAACATAAAACTTAACCACCACAGAGTCTAAAACCTGGCTAAAGCAGGATGAAAGATTTCCTCAGTACATAGTAACTGAACCAAACTTATCAAAGTTGGAAGGCTGTACTACATAAAAGTTTTTTTTTATTAATCTCATTACACTTCTCTGCACAAATGATGAAGTAGAATATGTGTTTTCTGTAGTAGCTTCTGGACAGGAGCAGGGCAGTTTGTCCCATGCAGAGCATAGATCCGGTGGCAGTAAGGGCGCGTCTATAGGGCCGAACACGACACCCTGCTGCCATTCCGTGTCTGTTTGATTTGGTTTTGAGCTTCTGCTGCTGGAATGTCGATCCGACTTACTCAGCCTCATTATTCCCTCCTTACCAGCACAACCTATACTTTTATCAAGTGCTTTTTAATAATTACTGAACAATGGTCTGCTTTGAAAGAAGTTCAAGCGTAACGCATGTATTAATATTTGTGGGTTAAATCGGGTTATTCCAGTCCCTCCCACCCTGCTCAGTGGAGGTATTGTCCGTAACAGAGGCTTGTTAATTTAGACTATATAGTCTTTCACAGTGTGGTATGAAAATTGCATGCCGCAGGAGACCAAGAGTTAGTCATGAAATGGCGCTCTGTTTTTTTTTGGTTTTTTTTTAAAGAATCTGGCTTTAGACTTGTTGTGTTGCTAATATCGCCACAGTTACTAAACAACACATTGAAACGCAAAATATCCAAACAAAATAAGGCAGATTTCCCGGCAGCAGTATACCTGACTGTGTGTCTTAAATAAAACAGTGTAAAGTTACCCATATGTCTGCATCTCCTCGATCAAACTTATAAGTAAGCACGTACTTCTGATCTGCTAATGCCTCTAAAGGGCTTTTAATCCAGTCACATGGACCATATATTGGCTTACACAGCACATGAACTGCATTCTGTAGCTGCTATTCAAGTAATATTAAGGTTATGAGAGCAGGAGTGGAGGAATACTAAAGCATGTACTTGATAAAGGTGCTATTACGGGGCCATCAAGTAAAAATGGTCTCCACAATTGCTCAATAGAGATTAACTTTAGATGTCCAGCACCTGGTTATCTCCATGACGATATTGCTATGTCTAGGTTTTCCACAGTATGGCATTAAGCATATCTTGCTGTTTTTATTTATGCCTTGAAAAACATTGATTTATACTGTGAACCAGCCACAAATTAACAGGCAACTTGGGCAGGTGGTGTCCTCTGCTTGTGTGTGTGAAAATGGATAAGTTAAATGCCATATACTGGA